GAAATACCAGAAATAGGACGTAAGCTCTGATCAGGGGGACTGTGAGCACAATTACCTTCTTTTCAAATCCTTCTGTGACACTGCGGGAGGAAAAAGGACTTTGAAACTTGAAAGGAAAGAGCTTGCTTTCAACCTCAAAAGCTAGGAGGAAAGGGCTCTGAAATTTGCTCAGTATTCCCAATTCACCATTAGCCTGTTTCTTCCTTTAGCCTCAAGGCATTCTCCGCTTTTTGAAAAGATGTTAAGAAATTCAGTCACAATAGAGAGCCTAGTTTTGAACATGTTTCACTCGGTCCATTGAGGTCTGGTCTTCAGCCTTTGTGTGGGGTGAATTGAGCTGAGCAGCAATCTGGTTGGGGAGAGGTGAATGAGCAGTCTCTGTGCAGTTACAAATTCTGGCAAAGAAAAGATTACCCTTTCCTTTATTTTACAATATGCATTCCTGTACAATCCTGCTAGTGGCAATATGCAGAGCCGAGCTTGTGCTTAGGTCAATATGGAGCACTTGGTTTATAGCAACTCTTGTTAAGTTTGTCTTGTAATTGAAGCTGCTGTTGACCTTGCTTGGAGACCATTTGTAAAACCGTTTATTTAGCATAAACTGAAATAATAAACCGTCCTTCTCTTAGGCTGATTGTGATAGGGTGACATTAGTTTGATTTAATGATTAGCCGCCTGACCCCTCAGCTAGAGAGAGCTGCTTGAATAGGGAGAGTTCACTAGGAAGCACACAGGAAGAATACTAATGAGCTTGTTAAATTTAGCATGGCACCAACCACTTTTAATTCCTCTAATGGGAGAAGCATTGCCTTTGAGAGAGAGGGAGGGAGATGGGGGCGGAGGGGGGGTGGGTGGAGGGGAGAAAGGAGAAGGAGAAAAAGAGGGAGGAAAGCCCATGTCCTATTAGACAGAGAATTTTGGTAAAGAGAAGAGGAGAGCTTAGAGGGAGCACCAGGCAGGGTCTCTTGGACTGAGTTGTAAGTACCTTGTTTTTTCTTTTACTCAGCTGAAGTGCTGTCAGATCTCTCATGAGATAGCAATGCTCTCTGGAAGCTGCAAGCAGAAATGTGGTGATGAAACTTAATATATTAAGAGATTTAACTGGGCTGATGTTGTCTTGTTTAATCAGGGGTGTCTCTGAAGTGTGTTGGGATTGACTTTTAGTGTGCTCTATCAATAAATTTCAACTTTTTTTTCAGTTGCTAACTTTAGGTGGTTTAAAGTAAAATACCTTCTACTTTGTCTTGGTGTATGGTAAAAAAAGGCAAAAAAGTTCAACAGATAAAGAAAGTTTAAAGGATTTTTGTGTTAGGTTTTGGCTTTTGCTGATTTTTTTAAAACTTTCTGAGTAAATTAGCTGTGCAATTAAAAGTGTGTTTATTCAGGCATGCTGTCCAGTGAGAGTTTCTGAGAACGCTTTTTGATTGAGTGAGAGGTGCTCCATTAAGAGAGGTGCTCAGCACTTCTAATAAAATTGGCTTCGGATCAAAATAGCAGGACTAAATCAGGTATTTCTCAGTGGTTGTGAGAATCCTGGATTAAAGTGATCATTCAAGATTGGGCACTTCTAACATGAGTCTCTGGCTATTGGCTTGTTAAGTCAGAGAAAGAGTGTATGTGAAGAAAGAGAAGCTTATGCAGATTGCTCTTGGGCATGGTTGCTTTTTTCTTTTCTTACTTAACCCTTCACTCTTACACTGGCAAAAGGTGGGAAGAATTGTACTGGAGCTGGTGGGCTCTTTTGCTTTGGCATGTGCTCTGCAACATTTTAATAATCAGATGCTTCTTTTGACCCTAAAGCTGGTCACTTCTAAAACGTGAGCAGAGCAGTAACAGAACAGTTCTGTCTTATTTGGCTGTAAAACCCCTTTGGCAGATGCTGCCGGAGGAGTGGGCTGTTTGCTTACATTTTTGCTTTAGAATCCCACTTGTTGCCATGGTGGACAGTGTGTTTCTGTCAATAATTTGGCCTGGCGAGCCTTGCCCGCACTTACTCTTGAAACTTTATTGAACGCTTCAGTTGAACCAGAACAAGATTATACAGCTTTCCCCTTCTGGCACTCTGGAGTGGCTCGCCTGCCGTGAGAGTCGGCAGCATTACTGCAAGAGGAGTTTCCCGTTTGGCGCCAGGGGAGCTCCTGCAAACTGCTTGGCTCTCAGCATCCTGGAGCGTGGGTGCTGTCAAATTTCTCATCTGCCCCTATCACAAGCAACCCAGTGGTGTGAAGTCAGTGCTTAGCGAGCTGTTCGCCTGATGAATAAGCTTTATTATTATTGCAAAAATGCTGTTGTGTTTAGTTAAATACTTCTGGGGCAATTTTTGTGTGGCAGAAAACATACAGAAACTTTTGACTTGTAATGGCACACGGCAATAACTTTATAATGAGGAGAGAGATCGTTGATGCAGACGGAAAAATAGTTTTGTTTTCTTTTTTTCTCAAGTAAGCAAAAAAGGGAAAAGCTTATTAAAACAAACCCTTTTGTTTCTAAATTACTGAAAGTAGGCTTTGAATTTCATTCAGCAATTTCAAAAATCAGCCTTTTCCATAACAGTCACTAGTACCTTGATTCATGTCATGTGCATGTTTTGAGAAGAAAAGTATGAAAGTGGAGCCTGCACACAGATGTCAGCTTCTTGTTGTATCCCAGGATGGCAGTTTTAACAAATATTATCTTTATATGGAAGAGTAAAAGAACTGAAATCCTATCTGATCATCTGAGTGAATATAAGGCCCCACAAATCACTCTAGCTTTCTTCTTTCTGAACTGTTGTAGCACTGGTTAGCTTGCTCTACTTAAGAGTCTGTCAGAATTTCAAATGAAGTGTAATACCCTGTTTTTATAGGAGTTTATGTCTCATCAGTGAAGGTTCACTCTAGGTTGAAATTTAACATAAAAGACTCTGGCTAAAGAGAAACCTGATGGAAAATATATCTTTGGGGGGATTTTTATTTTTTTTAGTTATACAAGCGGGTTTCTAAAAACCTCATATAAGTTTTAAAGTTTTAGTCCCCGATTTGCAGTTCTCTAACTAAAACCAGCTTCAGTGTAAAAAGTTGAAACATTAAACCCTGCCAATCCAGAGCAGGGACCAATCCCTGTGCGTATGAATAAAAAGTAGAAAAGGGCAAAGGGTTTAAAATCTGTAATGTTGTTGTCTATTTCCATTAACTCTTTCTTCTCAGACCCAACTCTGGAAAAGCTCTGTATGTAGAATTAATGGCTGTAAAAAGAATTCTGTCCCTGGAAGATGCTGATAAGTCAGCAAACCCTGGTTGCTGTAATACTTGGAGATAGAAAAATAATTAAGTGCTCAATAGGCTATGCTGCTGAGTTTTTGTGTTGTTGCTGCTTGGGGGGAGAGGGGGCAGAGAAAAAACTGGTTAGCATTTCATTCAAAGCAATGGTGTGGCTAGTTTATGCATGTAATGGCCAGGTATCTGTATGTCCAGAGCTTGTTTCTAATCTAATTCCTATAAAGGCACATAGGCTGAGTTACGCTTGCTGAGTGTAGTTACTCGGTGAGTTGCTGGCTGCTGCTTTTGCTGTGTGAACAAGTACACCAGGGAAAAGTGCAAGTGAAAACGTAGCCCTGACCTCAAATCTCTGACAACCGAAGTGCAGTCTTGGCACTGGTGTCAATCATTCTTCCTTGCATGCGGATTGTAGAGTAAGAGCACTTTAGTTTTATTTCCTAAGAGTGTTTTCATTTCCTTTTCTAGTTGCCCGTTTTGTGCACAGCATTTAATAATTTGAGATTCCTTGTGTACTTCTAGAACTGCAGAGCAACTTTGAAATGAAGAATCTTTATCAGTATTCCTTCAAGATGTATTGGTGTACACTTGCATGTGCAGTGTGATTGATGGAATACGTGTGATTGATGGCTGTACGTGGAGCATTGATACTGGCCAAGGATTACAGGCAGCAAGCAATCCTGCTTGTTTAGAGAAACATCTGTATTTTAAACCAATAATGCAACTGAAGGACAGCATTTACATTAGAGACTTATGTACCTAGCAGAGCCCCTCTGCCACATGGCATGTGTGAAATGTACCTAGGAGCACATCTTGATTTTGAGGAACAGAACAATTTTGTCTGCTTTTTGAAGGGTGTATGTAGTCCCTAGGGGTTAAAATTCTTGTAGGAGCAGTGGGTTGTATTATCACCTAGTCCTGGAGCTGTCTGCAAGGAAGGCTGGTAGAGCCATGGTCAGGAGGCTTTTCTTCCTTTACAAGTGGTACCACAGGCCTAGAGGCTTACTCCAAACTAGGGCTTGGGTTTAATGCTCTTAGTTATTATTATTTTACCCCCAGCTTTTTCTTCCTCCTTGTTCATTAAGATTTTGTGGTTTTGTTTTTGTGGATGTAGGAAAAAGAGGTAGAGGGAGTATATGCAACCATCCTGCACGTGGTGACACTGTCAGAGCAGGTGGCCTTGCTTGTGCCTGCCTGATGCTGCTGGTCCTGTATTTTGAGCAGTTGTACCCATTTTATTGTTGGTTCTTGGTTCTGATCACTGCCAACCTCTCTGCAAGGTTTCAGCCCCTCACACAGGCAAACCCTAGGGACCTGGAGCTGGGCTGCAGAGCTGTGGTGGGTGGCTGGGCATGATTTAGGCCTGGCTGGTGGGGTTCATCTTCTCTGTGTGACAAATAATTTCTTGATTCCCCATCAGGGAGCTCCCAGTCTCCTTGTCCCAGAGGCAGGGAAACAGCAAGCCTCTGTCTGTTCCCACACAATTGATAGCCCCGCTGGTAGGAGCATCAGTGCATGGGTGACGGTGATCTACTGCTCGGCTGCTGCCGGCTCTGAACGGGCAAGCATCTCCAGGCCATCCCTCACAGCCACACAGGCACCTCCTGTCACAAACTTACACCGGGAGGAGGAGGAGGGCAGTGGGGGGAGAACTTTTCTTTATTGTATTTGCTATAAATGGGCTAAAAGTGTGTGTCTCTCTTTTTTCTTCCCTTCTCTCTTTCTTCTCCCTCATTTTTTTTGCAGAGGATGAAAGTCCTGGGCAGACCTATCACAGAGAGAGAAGGAACGCGATCACAATGCAGCCGCAGGGTGGGCAAGGCCTCGGCAAGATCAGTGAAGAGCCTTCCACGTCGAGTGAGGAAAGGGCCTCATTAATCAAGAAGGAGATCCATGGATCTATATCGCACCTTCCTGAACCTTCCGTACCTTACCGCGGGACGCTCTTTACCATGGACCCCCGAAATGGTTACATGGACCCCCATTACCGTGAGTATTGATTGCTGGCTTATTTGGAGATGCAGAGTTGGAAAGCTGTCAAATTTAATGTGATTTTGTCACTTTGCATTGTCCCCGGGGAGAATTGCTTTATCTGGAGGGAGTGGTGTTTGTGGTAAATGCAATCTCTTTTTTTCCTGAAGTTAAAAACCAGGGTGCAGTTGCACTGCAGGTAGAAATTACTGCAGGCCTCTGCAAAGTGACTTCCACAGGACATCTCATCTGTTGCTAATCCTCCTCAGCAATCCAGGGTTGTGTTTTGCTCCACCCCCTTAAAACATGAAGAAAAACGGGCCTCATTATAGCTAGCAGCGAAGGAAAATGAAACAGGCCTTAAAAAAATCCCTGTTTTAAAACAATGTTAAAGTATGTTATTGAGAGGAAGAAGGACTGTACCCTGTACACTGAGAATTTGGGGAATTGGAAGGCTTATTTTTGTGCTTTGGGACTCTTTGTTTTGTTTTGGAGGGGTTTTTTAGACATTCACAAGTGTGTTTGAGAATGCAGGCTTGATGGAGTGTTTTTGCAATTTTCTTTCCCAGCTATAGTTCCCTGAAGTTGGAAGGGGGAGGAAAAAGGGCAAATGGTTTCAACTTCTGAATTCTCACTCGGGCATTAATAAAAAAGTAAGAAATTAACTGACACTTGAACACAGATGTGGAGTGGATTTCTCCACAGGCGCAAAGTATGAAGGAGTTAAGCAATTTTTTTTTCATCTGTTTCAAGTTTACAAAAAAAAAAAGAGAAGAAAGATCATTTAGTTGTGTAGTAATGAAGTACATCTTGAGGTGTCAAGGCTTGTGCCTTTTGATTAGAGATTTATCACCCAGTCAGGATACAGATTTGCCATTTAACCTTTCAGTCTCCAATTCCAGATGATAGGCTTAAGACCCACAAAGAGAGAGCAGTCTGCATTGGTTTTCCTTTTTTTTTTTAACATCATTCAGAAGTTTTAGTGTTTTAAGGCAAAAGGTCATTAGCCAGACGACTGATTGGTGAGGACAGCTGATTAGTGCATGATTTTTTGCTAAAGAAAGTGCCAGGGATAAAAGCTAATTTTATCCCTTCATTAGTTGGGCTAGCAGTAAAGGGGAATGTTCACTCATCAGGGTGCAGATCAAAGTATGTCTTGCACAACCTTAAGTCTCACCAAACTCCTTAAAAAAAAAAAAAAAGATCCTGATTGTTAATAAGGATGGAGGTATTATGAGAAAATGAACACTTGTTGTCTGTATAGTTTAGATCAGTATTTAGGAAAAATGTTTGCAGTTAAGCTTTTGAGCTCTTTTTCAGGGCAGTCAGTTGTTTTTGTACACCTTCCTCTCCTGCTCTCGTACAGACCTGCTCAAACCCTCTGGGGGAGTTACTCATCTCTCTGTTGAGGAGCACACAGTTGCTGCAGCACACCAGTGGCAGACTCCTGCCACAGAGGCATGAATGAGCAGTGCAAACGGCCACTCGTGAGCAGCAGAGCATACAATTATTACCTCGGGGGTTGGAGGCACCATTCCTAGCTTCTGGTTAGCAAATGCCCAAATCTAGCTTAAAAGAAATCCAACAGAACAAAAAAGTATTGTTGGGAAAGCAAAATAGCTTCTCTGTTTGTGGGCAGTACAGCTGGGGAGAAATGAAATGTGTGACAAAAACAACCCTCAAAACCAACAGACCTTATGTTAAATTTAGTGGGGTTTGACCATCTGACCCGCTTCCAGATCACTCCTTAAATCTTGTTCAAAGTGTTCTGAAATTACTGAAAGTTCAGACAGAATAAAAAGATCTGGACAGTCAGGATGTGTCTGAGTGGTTTGCAATGAGTTTATTTTGGTTTATTTTCAAATTCACCTTTTGACAAGAGTTGTCAAGATTTAGTGAAGCTACTGTGTCTGCATTGTTACCATTAATGCTAGCTAGTCAGGCTGTGTGGACTGCTAGCAAAACTGATGTCAGAAGCTGAGAGAACACCAGAAGTTCCCTACCATATGACAGTAGAGAAACAGGAGATGAGTTAATTTTAAATGAGCGACAAGATCTTAAAACAGAAATCTAAGTCAGAAAGCATCAGATGGACAGACCTGCTTCCCTCTCCTGTAATGAGCAGTACATTTGTATTCACTGATTTATAAGGTCCCTCAAGCTATTAATGTCATAAAAAGAGCCATCATGCTTTTATTTACCTTTAATAGCTATGATACAGAGAGACAACTAAAAAGACAAATGTCTAGTTAGATTTATAGGAAAGCAGACAATCTTACTGAAATTTTCATAGTAGTTGTATCATTTATATATGTAAGATATGCTTTCATCAGAGCAGTGACTGCATTAAGACTGACACTTTTAGTGGTCTGTATGAAGAAGGCTGAATAATGTACACTGTAGCAACAGGTAAAGAACCAGAGAGGCTATTGTTTTCCTTTCTTAATTTCTTGCCAGTTTTGCTGGGCATATGTATAGAAAATGTTTTAATTCAGCATAGTCAGATGTGTAAACACTTAAAGTAATTTCTTCATTTCCCTGTGGCTGGAAAATACAGACTTCTCAAGATGCCTAATTCGTGCTTCTATTTATACCACTTTGTATTTAAAAGTGTGGGCAGGCTTCCTGTAACACAGGAAAAGGGAAAATAATTTTTTTGAAGAAAGACATCTGTATGTTTTTATGACAAAAAAGGGTGTTTAAGTCTGTTGTGTGTAGAATGTATGTTCCTTTCATGAGCTGCAGTTATTAGAAACAACTTGAGTGCTTTGCACTTTTACATGTAAACATGTGTGTGTCTGTTTGTGCATTGCAGGATTTTTTGTTTTAATTTTTTTTCTAATTAAAATGACTGATGTTGTAAATGTTGGTAATAATAGTTACCATAAATGTGGAAGAAATCCCTCATTGAGGGGGAGTTTGCTCTCCTGCAGAGTGTGGGTGGGGATAATGGTTGTGTTTCAAGTGAGCCAGCTTCTCAAACAGCTGGGATGGAACATGCTATGGAGCTGGCAGCCCTTCTGCACTGCCAGAGAGCCCCTCAACCATTTAGCAACTGAGAATGTGAATGCAGTCCCATGCTCAGCTCACAGCCTTTTATTCTCCAACAGATAAAAGGGAAAACACAGGCCTAAACCAGAAATTTTTCTTTTCTGTCTTTTTGTTAAAGATTTCTTAACCACTGTTTAAACACAGCTCACAAAGGAAGAGAGAGATGCTGTTTTTATTTGTTTAACTTCTAAAAAACTTTTTTTCTTTAAAAAGGCTTTAGGACAGATGACAGAAGAGCTGGAGTTAGCTCCTTTTCTTTGTTGAGGAGAGCAGAGTTACTGACCTTAATCACAGTGTTTCTTAAAAGGATTTAAAATCCTGAGTTTCTCAAACACTAATTCCATTGGTAGTTGGAGCCCCTTGTTAATGTAAATTCCTTCTCTAGAGTTGGGGCTGAGGCAGGGAAGATGAGGATAGAAACTTGCCTGTGTTATTATATTCCACAATTTTAATTTTTATGTAGATTTATGGCAGTGCTAAGACTGCCTGTCTCACAAGTCATTCCTTATGGAAAAAATGAATCATTCCTGATGTAAACACTTTGATTTAAAACATACTGTTGATATTCTTCCATGGGTTACAAAGATCATCTGAAAGAATTGTTAGTACCTAATTAGCAAAACCTGAAGAATTATCTTAAGCAAAAAGCAGTGACAGATCATTTGGCTCTGATCCAAATATTAATATATACAGGAATGTATGGCCCTTGCAGGATTCTCTTTGTGGTAAATCACTTCATCTCAAAGAGCTTGTACTAGCTGAATGCAGGAACTCACTCCTTTCTTTTTTTCTTATTTTTTTTTCTTTTCCTTTCCTTTTTTTTCACCTCTTCTTACCAAGGATTTATTTTGCTGGTGTTGAAGCTTCTGTATCTGTCTGGGGAAGTGGGAACTGCTTATTGCACATTTCATAGGATTAGCCCTCCAAAGATATTGATTGCCCTCAGTTCCCACTGACTGTTCTTGGGCTTAGCTTTGTAAGGACTGGGCCTTGCATAACTGCCTGAGTTAGATTACCCAGTGTTAATGTCACCTCAAAATCAATTTGCAACATAAACGAAAGACCCCAGCAAGGAAAATACAATGCTGGTTTACTAGGTGCACTTGTTCATTGACTAGTTTTAATTTCTGTTGAGAAGAATTCCCCTTCCTTCATATCCCTATTGGAAAGGAGAAGGGAGTGTGGGGAAAAAAAAAGGGGGAATTGGATTCTGTTGCTAAAAAATGCAAACTGTTAACTGGAAACACTGTTTTAAATGCAGTAACTGGAAAGCAATGGCTTTTTGTGGCAGTGACTCTTGAACCACAGTGGCCAGCTATGTGTGGCACATTTGACAGTGAGAGCAGTCCTGGTCACCACCAGGAGATGGGCTCATGGAAAGGACCTACAGAGGGGTAGATAGTGGTGTCCCTTGTCATCTACCTGGCATAATTTAGGACTCAGGAGAGAAAACTGAGAAACTTCTGGATAGCCCCAAAGCAGGCACTTTTCTTATTTCACCTCTAGTTTCCCAGTGTCTTTTGGTGACAGGAGACCAGGACAACTTTTTGTAGAGAGTTTCTACCTGGCCTGGTTGGACAGTGGTAGGAGAATGTCACTGGAGAATCTTTGTAGAGATTTAGGGCCAGAGTCTTTAAATACATGTAGGCACTCTTCAGTTTCAAACTGAGTTTGGCCTCTGAGAATCTGGGTCCTACTTCAACTCTGCAGCATTTTCAGGGGAGAGGCTCAGGCACTCTAGTAACAGAACTCTCTACTGACAGTGATTTATGGGGTGGTTTCCAAATGTTGTCAAGTAGGAGTAGTTGAAAAAAGTAAAATCTAAAGCTTTTAATAGAACTCACAAGGAAAAAAGCCTCTGTTAGAAAAGTGAATGTCAGACTGCTCATGTCAGCTGAGCAGCTGAAGTATGGGTCTATAAAAAATTGGTGTGTTTGCAAAAACATTTTTGGGATTAAAAGTCTAAA